AGCCACAGCCGCAAGGCTATCACCATCCCCAGACGCTTGAAGAAGTTCGAACCCTTTGGATTGGTGATTTGCAGTATTGGGTCGACGAGAATTACCTCTCTTCCTGCTTCTCCCAAACCGGCGAGGTAAACTATTCTCTCGTTCCTCACCTTCTCTCGGAGCTTGTTCTTCTTGTGACCTTGTTTATTCCCAATTTACATACAGTTTTCGATTTTTTTTTCTTCTGGGTTTTAGCCGTTTTGTACCTCGCCTTCTGATATTCTAGGGTTTCTTTACCGTTTAGGAGAAGATGGAATTGCCTAATTCTTGTGCTTCTTCTTTCTCGTTCATTGTTTGTTGTTATGCTCTCAATTCCAATTGGTAATATAGTCGTTGGTGAAGCAGATACTCCTGCTTCTAAGAACTGTTGTTAGAAAATGTCTGAGTAGATCCTTTTCTTTAGTCTCTAATTTGTCTTGTTAACTGTCCTTAGTTTCTTAAGCTCAGATGTTATATGATCCTCCCTATATATTAACTGTGTGAGGAGATTTGAATCAAACGTTGTAATTGGTTAACATAAATGGTTATGCAGCTCGTTTCTGTCAAGGTAATACGTAACAAGATCACAGGCCAGCCAGAAGGGTATGGTTTTATAGAGTTTATATCTCACGCAGCAGCGGAGAGAGCGCTTCAGACGTATAATGGGACACAAATGCCTGCAACGGAATTAACTTTCAGGTTAAATTGGGCTTCTTTTGGTTCAGGCCAGAAAGTAGATGCTGGACCGGATCATTCTATCTTTGTTGGAGATTTAGCTCCAGATGTTACAGATTATCTTCTTCAAGAGACATTCCGTGTTCATTATTCTTCTGTTAGAGGTGCTAAAGTTGTTACCGATCCAAGCACTGGACGATCAAAAGGTTACGGATTTGTCAAGTTTGCAGAGGAGGCTGAAAGGAACAGGGCCATGTCTGAAATGAATGGTTTGTATTGCTCAACAAGGCCTATGCGTATTAGCGCAGCAACGCCTAAAAAAAACATGGGTGTGCAGCAACAATATGTCACCAAAGGTATGAGAAGAAAACACGGA